GGGACTCGATCCTGGGACTCCAGGATCATGACCTGAGCCGAAGGCCGTTGCTTAACCATCTGAGCCACCCAGGCGCCCTGACTATAGATCTCTTTAGTTTACAGTTGGGAGGAACTTATTGATAAATTACATGAGCTGGGAGACATTGTTGAATTCCATCATGGCTAAAATAAGGAAAGCTTCATCCTAGAGAATGTGAAATTCCTTATATTATTTCATTTTTTTAAAAGATTTATTTATTTACTTGAAAGAGAGAGAATGAGAGAGAGAGAGAGCACATGAGAGGGGGGAGGGTCAGAGGGAGAAGCGGGCTCCCTGCGCGGGACTCGATCCTGGGACTCCAGGATCATGACCTGAGCCAAAGGCAGTCGCTTAACCAACTGAGCCACCCAGGCGCCCTATATTATTTCATTTTTATGAGGAGCTGCCATTTGTGTCTTCTGTTTTTTGGAGGTTCATAGTTCTTTGGAACATTGCTTGTTTCCTGAGAGCTTTACTTCCTTATGTCATTTGCTCTGCAGTAGTCCTGTAAGTATTCTGATGATCACTCTGTGGCCTGCTCTCCCTTATTGTACTTTTTATTCTGTCCTGGGAGTATTTTGGGGAAGAACAGCTCTCCCTTCTATAGGAGCCATCTTTTGTTTCTATTTTGGATTGTAGTGTCTTCTATTCCGGTTTCTTTTTTTTTTTTTTTAAGATTTATTTATTTTAGAGAGAGAGAGCATGAGCATGGGGAGGGGCAGAGGGAGAGAGAGAATCTCAAGCAGACTCCCCGCTGAGCACAGAGCCTGACACTGGGCTCAGTCCCATTACCCTGACACTATGACCTTAGCCAAAATCAAGAGTCAGAGGCTTCACCGACTGAGCCACCCAGGTGCCCCCTACTCTGGTTTCTTAATCAGAATCTGTGAGTCTGCTGGTTTGCTGAAATTCTGTAATTTCGGGTGATTGATAGCATCCTTTCTTTGTTTCCATCAGTACAGACCTATTTTCCTTTTTCTCTTTACCTTTACTCTCTTTTCAGTGGGATTTTCCAGAAAGGGGATGGTAGATGCATGTGCTCAGTCTAAATAAATTTTATTTATTCAGCACTACTTAATATGTGTCGATAACATTCTAGATTCTGTGAATGAGACAGACAAATGGCATCCCAACTTTTATGGAGTTTATATTCTAATGGGGGATTCAGCATATAAGTAAATAACATAGTATTGGATTATAAAAAGTAATTTGAGCTGTAAGACTCAGGGGTAACCTATAAATCAACATTTGAAGTAAATAAGTGGTCTCATTAGAAGTTTTGGGATGTGAGCTCTAGGCAGAAGGATTAGCAAATGCTAAGGGGAGGAAAGGAACTTGTTTTATTAAAAGGAAGGCATGTCTGGAGTATAGTGAACAAAGTGTTGCAGTGTGAGAGAATATTGGAGAGAGAGGCAAATGTCAGGTCTTATAGACACTTGTAGTCTTTGATAAGGAAATTTGACTTTATTTTTAAATACAATGAAAAGCTAATGAAAGATTTTAGAAGGGGAGCTATGCAGTTTGAATTTTTTAAAGATAATTTTGGCAGCTATGTAGGAAACGCATTTGGTTTGGATATTGCCCATCGAGGTAGAGTGATGAAGAAATTGTGGATATAGTACCTGTGGACATTTGTGATGATATAAGAAGCAGCAGGCTGAGTCCCAGATAATTACAAATTATTTGGCTTTTGCAACTGGGTAGTATTATTTACTAATATAATGAAGCTTTGGAAGAGGGAAAATCAAGAGTGATTTTTTGATACATTTGAAATGCTTGTAAGATACTAGAGTGAAGCTGTTGGGTAGGCAGTCTGGAACTTTGGGAAGAGGTCAGAGTTGAAAGTATAAATTTTGGAACCGTCATAAAGCATAGAGTGTAATGTTTGGATCTATGGATTATCTCGACAGAGTGTAAGTAAGAGAAGAGGGCTCAGGTCAGAGTCCTAGGGCTTTAATATTAAAGATGAGAAAGAACCTGGGGGAGAAGACACCAAAAGGAGATAAAGAGGAGTGACTGGTGAGATGGGATACCTGGAAACCTGAAAATCAAGTGAAGAATAATTTAAGGAAAAGAGTAGTCATCTTTGTTGAATTTTTGAGAGATGGTATTAAGATGATCAGAGAGAGGTGCTGTTAGATTTGATAACAGAGATTTTTGTCCTTCTTGATCCGTTTCATTGAGTGGGCATCTGAATTGGAGTGGATTGATTAGTGAATGGGAGGTGAGAAATTGAAGGCAGAAAGTACAGAGAGCTCTTTTTTGAGAAGTTTGCAGAGATGGGCAGGTAGCCGAAGGAACAAACCTAAATTCATTGTTGAACTTTAAAAGGCATACTGTAAAAAGCTTTACCTATCGCTATTTCTTTCAGCTTTTTTTTTTTTTTTGAGAAATTCTAAGCATACACAAGACCAGAAGGAAAATGGCCAACCTGGCCCCATTTATACCGTTTACTCTTTCCCTTGCATAGTATTATTTTTTTTTTTTTAAAGATTTTTTTATTTGACAGAGCACAAGCAGAGGGAGAGAGAGGGAGAAGCAGGCTCCCCGCTGAGCAAGGAGCCCGATGCGGGACTCCATCTCAGGACCCTGGGGTCATGACTCGGGCCAAAGGCAGCCGCTTAACTGACTGAGCCATCTAGGTGTCCCTCTTGCATATTATTTTTAGGCAAATCTCATATAATTTGTTATAAATGTTTCATTATATGTTTCTAAAAGATAGACTTTTAAAAATATAAGCACAATTAAAATTAACAATAATTCCTTAATATTAAATACCCAACTGGTGTTGACGTTTTCAGGTTTCTCATAAAAACTTTTTTAAAAAGTTTTAAAAAGGGTGCCTGGGTGGCTCAGATGGTTGAGCATCTGCCTTCGGCTCAGGTTATCGAGTCCTGCATTGGGCTCCCTGCTCAGCGGGGAGCCTACTTCTCCCTCTGCCCCTCTCTGTCTCTGTCTCTTATGAATAAATAAATAAAATCTTTAAAAAAAATTAAAAAGTTTTAAAAAACAGATTATGTAAGGTCCACACATTACGTATGGGCAGTCTTTTTTAGCTCTCTTTTATCTATTGTTTCTTTTTTTTCTTGCAAATTGTATGTTGAAGAAGCTACCACATGTACATCTGGATGTGCTATTTGGGTCTTCATGGTGTAGGAATGTAGGATGACACATTCCTCCAGTGACTTTTATTTTTCCTGTAAATTGTAATTTGGATTCAAAGGCTTGATGGGATTTGATTTTCTTGACAAGACTACCTAATAGTTAGGTATTCTGTCAGGTGACACATAAAGTCTGCTTGTCTCTGTTTTTGTAATGTTAGCAGCTATTTATGTTCAACACTTACATCCTTTAGTTCATTTCTGGTTGAAAATGGTGATACTTGGGGTGCCTGGGTGGCTCAGTTGGTTAAGCATCTGCCTTTGGCTCAGGTCATGATCCTGGGGTCCTGGGATTGAGCTCCATGTTGGGCTCCCTGCTCAGTGGGGAGCTTGCTTCTCCCTCTGCCTCTACCCCTCTCTCCCACTCGTGCTCACTTGCTCGCTTTCTCAAATAAATAAAATCTTTAAGAAAAATGGTGATGCTTTGATTTTATCATCCTTCATTTTTTAGCCACGGTAATTCTTAAATTAGAAACTTCTCTTTATCTGTCCTTTGGTTACCCAGTGAGTGGTACAGTTTGAATAGAAGAGGCAGGATAAATGCTTTATTCTTTCTATTCTATTTAAGCTTTCAAAATAGGGAGTTGGTTCTTTAGTGTCTTCCTATGGTGGCCACGTAGTTTTTGCTTGTGTTTTTTTAATTTAATGTCATGTACTCGTAATATTAAGTATATTTGATGTTCCAATTTATTATTATAGTTACTATTTGTGTTGATGCCCGAACTGTCGTAAAGTGGCCAGGGGGAGCCTTTTCAAGTTAGCCCTTTAGTCCTTCAACAAGACCCTGGTTGTCTTTGATAACTTCCTTGCAATCTGGAATAATTAAGTGTTCTTGCATCATCTGGTATATGTCTGAGATGAGAATTAACTAATTCTCTAAGGGTACAGTATTTAAAAATAACCATTACCATTTTACTTAAGTTTTTTTTTTTTTTAATTTTACACTAGCCTATTAAGCATAGTTATATTACAGTCTTTTAAATTGTTCCCTTCTTGGGATATGAATTTTATCCATTTTGGCCCTTTACCATTGTGGTTTTATGTATTTGGGGAATTCTCTTTGTTGCTTTTGAGTTCATGACCTGAGGTATGTATTAAAGCAAGTTTTTTTTGTTTTTGTTTTTTTTAATTTGTTGTTTGCCTTATCCAACATTTTGAATTGTTTGGAGTGAGAAAGATGGCTTCTTGGCATTAATTAAATCACCATATTGAGTAAAGTTCCTCTTTTGCTATTCCATTTAGGGATCTGCATGCTCTGAGAATGTCAGAAATGATCTCATCTGTGGCTAAAGTGAAAACTACTTATTACTTCCCTAGTGTTTTTATATTTTCTGTGGATGTTTTCTGTTTGCTTTTTATTGGTAACCTTAACGTATTATGACTAAGGTCAGTTTTGCTTCTGTATATTTGACATATTTCAGTCTATAATTTGAGTAGGGGGCAAAAAGGAATGGAATTTTTTTTTCCTTTTCTAATACTTTACCATTTTTAGCTTGGAAGCAGAGAGAAGGAAAAAGGCAGAAAGATCGCTGTGAAATTGTGTGAACATGTAGGGGCTGAAATTAAAGGTGCCAAATAAAAAAACTGGTCTTGTTACAATTCTTCCTACCTCATGAGTTAATGAGGATCTGTATTCTGTTGAATTTCTTTTTTTCCTGTGTGGGTGTGAGGAACGTAGATGTTATGGTTGTAGTTTTATAAAATATGCCAGGCAGCAAAAACTCTAGTGCTATTTAGAAAGAAAAAGAAGACAATGAGAACTTGGGCAAACAGTTCTTGCTAAGCCCTAAAATATATCACTTTTATTCATCCATACAGAAAACAAGCATGAGGCCAAGAGGAGGCGAACAGAGAGAGTTAGGCGAGAGAAGATAAATTCTACAGTAAATAAGGATTTAGAAAACAGAAAGAGGTCTCGAAGTAACAGCCATTCAGATCATATCAGACGAGGAAGAGGAAGACCTAAAACTGCATCTGCCAAAAAACATGAGGAAGAAAGAGGTATGAATAAATCCAAGCAGTTTTGTTTTTCAAGTATTAAATTTTTCTAGATCTTAATTAGATAGTAGTAAAGAAAGTGTTTGGTAGGCATTGAGCTCCTGGACTTAAAATCACAACTCATATTTTAGTTTGAAAACATTTCCTCCAGGGTAGATGCTTTTTTTTTTTTTTTAAATCACAATTTAATTCTTATTGAAAAGCTATAAAGGCTCAAATTAGGTAAAATTCACCTTGCTATAAACTGATGATAGTAGAGTTCAGAGATAATAATTTGTATATGACAACCTAGGGAAGCCTGTTAAAATGGTTGTTTTTTTGTTTGTTTTTAAAGATAAATCTGAGTTCTGTTACACTTATTTCAAACTGTTACACTATGAGTTTTAAAATTTACTACTGAAAGTATTCTTCAGTATGAATTTTTAAATTGCTCATTGTGTCCTCCCTGCTTTGAGGCAGCTTTTGGGTAGTTAGGTAAATTCTTCTTGGTCCAAAATATATTCATATTTCTCCTTACAGATTTTCTCCTTTCTTCTGATAAGTAGTATGTCTACCAATAACTTGTTTTTAACACATTAACTAAAACTTCAGCTTCTCTTTTTATACATCTTCTAAAAAACCATTTATCATGGAAAATTTCAAAGATGACACAAGAGTAGAGAGACTAGGATAATGAATCCCTGTATGGCCATGAATGAATATCTTTTGCAATTGAGACTTTTAAGCCTGTAATTAATGGAAAAAAGGGATGGTTGCTCTTTATAATTACTTAAAAACATCTATCAAAATAATTTCATCTTCAGTGAAATGCGTTTATAATTTCTTATCTTGTTGGTGAGTTATGCTTTGCTTTTTCAGGCATTCAGTTTTAGATATTCAAGCATAAGTGTAAATTTCTCTTATTTTAGACATTGAGAATTTTTTTTAACCTGTTTACCATTTCTCTCTGCTTTGTATGCTTTTATTTCAATAAAGTTATGACTGTTAGGGAAAATAACTTCACCGGTATAGCTGTCTTTAGCTTTTTCAGAGTTAATGGTGTCGTAGTATTGTATGGCTAAAGGAATAAGGCTTATATCATATTTGACTGTATTCTTTGAAGAATACTTAGATCTTCCTTAATTCCTTGGGTAATAGTACTCCATTTTCTTTTTCCTTCTCTTATGCTGCTCTTCCAGAGAGTTTGAATTATTTTCTAAATTTGAATGTGTTTTTTAACATGGGATGATCAGAAAAATCTATGCTAAAAACTGCTTCAGCAGGGAAACTAGGCAAAGAGAAATCAACAAGAAAAAAACAAAAAACCCAGAGAAATACTGCTTGGCCCAGAAAACAGGACATTCTTTTCAGTTGAAGTAAAGGGAATATAACCCAAAGAATGGAGAAGGAATGCTTCTGGTGGTGAGTGAGAGGAGATGAGCAAACAGATAATGACAGTCTTTTAGTTGGGGAAATGAAATCTAGATAGCTGTTCTAGGAATCTGTATGTGCAGGTCTGAACTTTTAAGAAAAGAATTTAGTTAGCTATTATTTTTTTTCCAGATATTTTGAGCTTATTAATAGAAAAGTTTTAAGCTATTTCTAGAGTAAGATACGCTTTTGATTTATTTTTAATACAAACAGGAAGGTGCTCAAAGCAATTTTTGTAGAATAAACTGGAATCTTTTCATGTAGGCCATGGGGGCGGGGTAGGGAAGAGGTCAGCAGACTTTCTGTAAAGAATCAAGTAATAAATATTTTAGGCTTTGTGGGCCATACAGCCTTCTGTTGCTGCTACTCGGCCCTGTCATTGTAGCTGGAGAGCAGCCATAGACAATATGTAAATAAATGGGCCTGGCTGTGTTCCAGTAAGACTTTATAAAAACAGGTGGCAGGCCAGATTTGACCTTGGGCTGTATTTTACCAACCCTTGAGGCAAACCATGTTCCCGAAATATAATATGGATAAGAAATATGAACTTTTGAAATCTCTATGTATTTTAGAATAGACTTCTTTCATATGCTTCTTAGTATTAACTAGCTATTTACTGTAATTCAGTTTTTATTGATTTCTTGCTCGTAGGGTACTTGAAAACTTTGAAGCAAGCTTTACCTTTTGTAAGGACAGTTTATGTATAAAAAACACATTTTTTATTGACTTTGTTTTCTATATTTTGAAAAAGAATAGGAAGAAGAAAGAATGCAAAAGGAAAGCTTGTTAGACATCTAGATAGCAAAATATTTTTATACAATCATAAAAACAAACCATTAAACTTAAAAATTTTGGTTGGTTTAAGATAAGTTTTCATTTTATATGAGGGGAGTATGATTATTTTGAATATTAGTAAGGTAAGAGTGACATTTAGATTAAAATATAATGGGCAATTCTGAATATCTTATTAACGAACGTACAAGATTTATGTAGAGTTCATGTTCAAGTTGGTAGATTGAATAACCACACCATGCTCTCCATCATCCTCAAATCCTAGTAATATTATAGTAAAGGGATTTTTTTTTTTAAAGGACCAAATTTCACAAGGACAAGGAATGGGAAAAGCAGCAGAATTCTAGAAAGTGATGACTGCTTTAGTAGACCCATGAAATCTAAACTGTTAGCCCCTTTGGGAAAAAATAATAAAAAGCTGGTTTTTATTACACAGCTGCCTTAAGGTCAGGAATTTGTGCATCAGTTATGTCTGGAAGTGTAGAGGTGAAGGTGAGGCTAAAAATGAGATTGTTTGGAAGTCTGTTTCTTAATGGCCTGCTAAGGCTGTTTACCTCATTTTTCCCTCCTTCCAAATTTATCCTTTCAAAAAGAAAACAAAACAGAGTCTCTGATTTAATGGAACACCAGGTGTCATTGAGGGCAGGGATACTATATTGAGATCAGGAAGATTACATGAAAATTTGGAGATAGTAAATACTGACTTCTGTGGTCAGGGTTGGATCTTCGAGGTAGGAGATTAGCAGTATCTTCTCTAGAAAATCTGAAAAACCCAAGAGAAAGGGCCTAATATAAGGAACTTTCATTAGGGATTTCACAAATGGCCCAGTCAGATCATCCTAAATTGGTGATCACAGTCAAGCTCCACAAATATGTATGAGCTTATCATCTTTTTGGATCCCGTTCTTAAATATGAGCATATTATCAAGAATTACTCAGATATATAGAAGAAAGCATCTATATGAAAGGCTAAGACCTTGAAACAACAGGGAAGAAACAATAACTTGGATAAAACAGGATTTTGCAGGAAAGAGAAAAACTTAAAACTATTGTTAATGGTTTTAGCAAGAGAAGATATAGTCATGAAACAAGAACAAGATGATATTTAAATGGAAAAGCAGGTGTCAAAAAAGTACCTAGAAAATGAACTTTAAAATACAAATCTAAAAAAATACGTGTGTGTATAAAGATTGCAGAAATGAAAAACTTTAACAGGTTTATTGACAGAATTAAAGAATTGTACCAGAAGGCAGAGAAATAAAAAAGAGATGAAAGGGACACCTGGATGGCTCAGTCGGTTAAGTGTCCGACTCTTGATTTCGGCTCACGTCACGATCTCAGGGTGGTGAGATTGAGCCCCATGTCAGGCTCTGTGCTGAGCGTGGGAAGCCTGCTTAGGATTCTCTTTCTCCCTCTCTCTAGGAAAGAAAGAGAGGGAGAAAGAAAAAAAAAAAAGAAAAAATAGAATGGGAAAGATAAGAAATTTAGAGGACCAGTTTGAAGTCAACATCTATAAATAACTGATGTTCCACAAAGGAACATAGAAGATGGAGGAGAAGGAAGTCATCGATGAAATAATTCAAGAAATTTTTCCAAACCTGAAGGACATTGAAATGGTCCACCAAATTCCCAGACCAGTGGATGGTTAAAAGTAGAGATTATGCCGAAGCCTATCATCATAAATCCTGTCTCTTTGGTTAAAGGGAAACTCCTTCAAGTACTCAGGGAAAAAATAGCGAGAAAAGAAAGTGGTATTTGGAATTAATACAGTGGAATAGTACACAGCAAGGAACAAACTACTCATATATGAACAGACAGCATCAGTGAATTTTAAAAACATGTTGAATGAAAGAAGCTAGACACAAAACAGTTCATGCTAGATGATGCCATTTATATGAAGTCCAAGAACAGGCAAATGAATCTGTGGTGATATAATCAGAACAGAGGTGGGGAGGAATTGACTGGAAAGGAGCATGAGGAATTTCCTGTATCTTGATTGTGGTGTGGGTTACATAGATGTATATTTTGTCAGAACTCATCCAATTGTACTTTAAGGTCTGTGTGTTTCACTGTATGTAAATTTAACAATAATGTTTTAAATAGCTGTAAAAAAAAGGTATTGGCTCTTTTTAAAACAGTGGCACCACTAGTTGGAAGCCAATTTTTTGCCTTTGTACTACTCAGGAAATCTATGAGTGTTTAGTCAGCCACACTATGAATTAGCATGGAGGTAGATTAATGACACTTTCTAACATTCAGGGTCTCAAAAAATTTGCTACCTGTACTCCCTTTCTCAGGAAGCTACTACAAGATACCTGGCATCAAAAGGAAGAAGTAAACCAAGAAAGTGTCCTGGGATCCAGGACACAGGGTCCAACTCAAGAGAAAAGATGTTTATATCCAGTATGATGTTGAAGAGAGATCTTGGTGATAATTGTGTAGCAGGTTTAGAAATCAACCATTTCAGATTGAGCAGAAGACTTGGAGAGACTTATTCAAGAAGTTAAAATTGATATAATATCTAGTATGTGTAAACATTCTGAAAGATCTGTACAACTCATTAGTAATGAAAACTAAGCTGATGGAGAAAGAATCTCAGGAAAAAAACAATGTGCAGGAAAAGTGAAATCATTTACATAGAAGAATAATGTAAACATTGAATATTGATCTCACCTAAATTGTGATGTAATTGTAATGGGAAGATGGGATAGGAAGAGTACAGGGCTTAAGATATGTAAAACAATAAAATACTAACTTTTCATGGTGGAAGGTTAATTAATAATGCCTAAAACCAAGAAGTGGACATAAAAATGTTGCTTAGGTAAAAAACGAAAAGAAACAACTGAAAAAAAGTAGTTGCACTTGGATTATGGGAAACGTGCATGGGGGAAGGAGGACTTCCGTATTTTGTAACAAGTTGAATAAAAACGATTTGACTCTATATATTTAACTTTGATTAAAAAGTCAAAACAAAACAAAAAAATAGACAAAATTACAATCGTAGAAGAGTCTGAAAAAAGAAGTTGGCAGAATACACAAAGATGTTTATTGTGGTTTTACCTGGCTCTGGGATAATATAGATGGGTTTTATTTTCTTTTTTGTTTTTCTGTACTTTTCAATTTTCTACCACGAACTTGGATTGCATTTGTAATCAGGAGGGGGAAAAATAGAATTAAATGTTGGTTATTCTTATTTTCTATAGCAGGGCTAAGGTAAAGAAGTTAATATATTCATAAAGGCACTATTGGTGTTCAGAAGGGACCATTTTTAGGGTGAGAAAATTCATTTTGATTGGACAATAAGCTCATCCTAGTGAAGAGAAAAATATTTGAGATTTTTAAGAAATATAGATATTATAGACGGTGTGTATAGAGATATATATATACAGTTTCCATTTAGTTTATGGCATTTCAATAACTCCTTTGTGTCATTTTAAAAAATTTTCAGTTTAGTAGCATGATACTGTATAACAAGTAATATATATTGTTAGTATTATGTATATTTATTGTCATCTAAAGAGATACTTGAAAGCCTCAAGTATTTTTTAATTACCACATTTACATTAAGCTTTCTCTTTTTCTTTTAACAGAGAAACAGGAAAAGGAAATTGACATCTATGCTAACCTCTCTGATGAAAAGGCTTTCGTGTTTTCAGTCGCCTTGGCAGAAATAAATAGAAAAATTATCAATCAAAGACTTATTCTCTGATATTTGCCTGCAAAATATGTTGAAACTGTCTTCAGGATTACATCAGCAAATTCTCAAACAGTTGTGGACTCTCAGGAGCATTCTGACTGCATCAATAAGGGCCATTGATTGTTTTTTTTTCCCTGTCTTTAGCCTGTGCCACACTTTGGGAGCAAAGCTGTAGGCTTGGACTGTTCTGGGATTTCCTTGTTTACCAAGGAGTATTGTCAGTGTTTTGTGTTTGGGATATAAGTAAGTATATTTACCAAAAACAAAAAAATAAACAATGGATGGCTATTAAAGGATAAAGGAATAGAGGTGAGAGTGGAAGAATGAAAACTAGGGAAATAAAATGCTTGATAGTTTTCAGGTTTGCCACCAGAGATGCAATATTTTAAGTACTTTGAGAAAGTGACTTTTAAAAATATTATATTTCAGATTTTCAGCACTAACAGATTACATATATACAGTTCATTTACTTTTAATAAATTGGCAATTGATATTTTATTGAATGGGGAATTAAGAATATAAACTGTACATTTTGTCTTAAATTGATTTTTTTTCTTGGCCTTTATTTTTATGACTTAAGGTATGAGTTATATTTTGGGAGATACTTTCTAGACATTTGGGAAGTTTGGGTGCTATATGAAGAAAAACATTTAAGGATATATCATACTTCAGATACAAACATCTTGTTTTCTTGAATGTAATTTATTTATTGGTTAAAAATACCTTTTCTGCTCTCAAGATGGTGCCTGTTAACCTAAACATAAAATATATTTATTACATACAAAATATTTCTTAGGTAGCCTCTTTTAAGCAGTAATGTTTTATCTGAATGGATGTTCATTTATACATACAGATAATTATTTAAATTGTTACTTAATCTCACTCTGGAAAAAAAAATAAATCTTAATATTGAAACTAATAGATTAATAGTGTGGTATAAGTTTTTGTTCTATGAAGTTTATGAAATATACTTAAATTCTTAATTTTTCTAGTAATTGATAACTGTTTATAGTTGATTTATACTAAATGCTTTTGCATTTTTGTTTTTCAATTTAATATTAATATTCAAACTTGACAGTAATTTCCCTTATTTCAGGTACCCCCCACCCTCACCCCAGTGGCTGAATCTGTTTGGAAGTCCAGAAGCCTTATTAGGGAAGGTACTCATCAGATAGATTTAGCCTTAAGAGAATTTCCCTTTGAGTTTTGGTAGTTGCGTTGTCAGCTTCATCCTGCCTCTCTCATTACCTCTCAAAAAAAAAAAAAAGATTCACATGTTGTCCTACTTCATCTAAATTGTAGCCAGCAGAGGGAGCTTAAGAGACTCTAGGCAGGAAGTAGAATTTTTTTCCCCACAATCCTTGTATTTACCTATAGGTACTACTACAATTATCTTGTATGCATTTTAAAGCCCTAGTAATAAAGTTTATTCCCAAGAATGCTAATGTGATTTTTATCTTTGAAATATAAGAAAACTATTTTCATTTTGACAAGAAAATATAAAAATAATATCTAAAAATGCTTTTGAGTATGTCCTCAGAAAAAGGAAGAATAGCTTATGGAGTAGGCATCTCTATAAAGAACTATTGATGTCAGAGTCTATCCATTTAAAGCTGAAGACCCTTAGAGGAAAGTCGTGTTAGAATAGTCATGGATACAATATGGAAGGAGACGGTGATTAGGCTGGAACTTACCGTGTAAAGTAGTAATTTATTTCAGATGCTCATGATGTTAAATCATTGGCTTATTTAAAAAGTTCTTTGGTAGAGGGGCTAACTAGGCTTTCCCCTATTTGTGATGTAACCTATTCAGGAAATTTCTCTAAAAATTGTGTTCTCTGATATTTTTATAAGCTATCTCATAAAGCTGAATTTGTCTAAGAATGTTGTAATCGTCTTGGAACATATTATTTGTCATTCACTGGTGTTGAAGAAACTGAGAGGTTGAGATGAGAGGTTTCTTATGAAACCTCTTAGATGTCCTAAGAGCATAATTATAATAATTTAATTACATAATCCAAAATTTGTTCTGCTTTAATACCTATAAATGATATGATTATTCAGAATGCCTTAAAATGATTCTATAATTAGATTAGGCCTGTTGAAGAGATGTTCATTCTTAAATGTGAACAAGATTAAATGTATTTGGGAATTGTTAGGCTGAACTATACAAATTCGTATGTTTATCTCCCCACCCAATCCCACGTATTCCAAAATGTTTTGGGGGAGGCACTTAAGATTTTGAGATTTAATTTTGTTTTTTTAAACATGAACATTTCTTAAGTTTTTATGGGCAGAGAAGCCTTAGGTTACTATGTTCAATGTAAGGTATTTAAAAGTAAGGAAATACTGCAAATTATTTCTTCTGTAGAAATCAGTGGAAATGATAAAACATCTTGAGACAGTTTATATTATGATGAAATAAAATTTAAAATTACAAAATGACTTAAAAATTTAGCCAGAGTAAATTGACACTTCTTGAAATTTCAAAAGTATTTTAAAAAATAATGCTCAGTATGTCGTGACATTTGTGGTGTTTCCTAAAAGTAATGTGTTTTCTCTGAAATAATTCAAATTGAAAAGTGTTTGACTTTCTAAACGCTGGTAATTGCATTTGATTCTCTAATTCTGACTGTAAAAATGTCTTAGTAATACATGTAATTTTTACTTTCAACCTGCATATGTTTATCCTTTAAATTTGGAGAAGTTAAGCTCTTTGCATACTTTATATGAAAGTATTAATTGGGCACCTGGGTGGCTCAGTCGGTTGAGCGTCTGCGTTTGGCTCAGGTCGTGATCCCGGAGTCCCAGGATTGAGCCCCTCGTCAGGCTCCCTGCTCAGTGGGGAGTCTGCTTCTCCCTCTAACCCTCCCCCCTCTCATGCTTTCTCTCTCTCGATCTCTCTCTCACAAATGAATAAATAAAATCTTAGAAAAAAGTATTAATCAAATTTGTTTGCTTCTGCATACAAAAATATGTTCTATATAGAATTTTTAAATTTTTTGTGTTCAGTTTTTTTGTTTTCATCTTTGACTATTATTATAAGGCTTGTTTTTACATTTGGTGATACACACACACATACACACACGTACACACCTATTTTACTTTTTCTAGTTCTTTTGTGCTGTTTTAATCCACTTAGTTTATTAATAGTGTTCATTACTCAAAGATTACAACTATAATAATGAGTATCCTAACATAGAAAGCAAACTCTCTGGAATGAAAAGTATGAGACATATAGAGGCTCTAGGCTGGACTGGAATAATTCTTTTTACCATAGTCAAAAATTTTCCTTTTGTATTATTAAGGAATCTTTTACCCTCTTATTGTCAAGAGTGTCTCTCCCCTTCCCTTAATGTTTTATCAGTGTGTTTTTTAATTTCTTTCCCTTATTACACTGGCAAGGACCTCAGTACAATCTTTAAAAGTGAGAAGAGGAAGATACTTGCCCTGATGCCAGTTGTGGGAGAAACATACTCAGTCTTACACCATTAAGTATGATGTTAACTATAGGTTTTTGTGTTGTAGAATACCCCCCCTTTTTTTTAAAGATTTTATTTATGGGGCGCCTGGGTGGCTCAGTCGTTAAGCGTCTGCCTTCAGCTCAGATCATGATCCCAGGGTCCTGGGATCTAGGCCTGCATCGGGCTCTCTGCTCAGTGGGAAGCTTGCTTCTCCCTCTCCCACTCCCCCTGCTTGTGTTCCCTCTCTTGCTGTGTTTCTCTCTGTCAAACAAGTGAGAGAGGGAACACAAGCAGGGGGAGTGGGAGAAGGAGAAGCAGACCTCCCGCGGAGCAGGGAGCCCGACGTGGGGCTTGATCCCAGGACCCTGGGATCATGACGTGAGCCGAAGGCAGACGCTTAACGACTGAGCCACCCAGATGCCCCTAGAATACCCCTTATTAAATGGAGGAAAATCCCTTTTCATTTGCTGAGAGTTTTTATTGTGAACATTTGTTAAATTTTGTCAGATGATTTTTTCACGTAAATTGAAAAGATTTTTTTTTCCTTTGGACTGTTAATATGGTGGGTCACATTGACTGATTTTTGATTAATGAAGCCAGCCTTGCATTTCTGATACAAATTTTACTTGGTTGTGTTGTGTTACTATTTTTATATACTGATGAATTCAACTTGAATTAATTTATCGAGGATTTTTGTCTACGTTCATAAGGTATATTGAATTGTAATGTTTTTGTAGTGTCTTTATCTGGTTTTGTAATTAGGTGATACTGGTTTCGTATAATGAGTTGGAAAGTATTCCATCTTTTTCTGCTTTCTTGAAGAGATTGTGTAGACTTAATTGTTATTCTTTAGATGTTTGGTAGAAGTTGGCATTGAAATTATCAGGGCCTAGACATGTATTTCAAAAGGATTTTACTAAGAATTACATTAATAGTTATTGGATAATTTCAGTTATCTATTTCTATTTGGATGAGTTTTGGTAGTTGGCCAATTTCATTGAAGTTATGGAAATTATATGTAAAATTCCTTGTGGCATTCTCTTTTTTGTGTTTTAGGGGTCAGTGATATTTCTTCCTCCATTTTTTTGTTAAGACTTTATTAGAGAGAGAGAGAGAGAGAGCAGGGGGAGGGGGAGAAGCAGACTCCCTGCTGAGCAGGGAGCCTGACACGGGGCTTGATCCCAGGACGCTGAGATCATGACCTAAGTGGGAGGCAGATGCCCAACTGACTGAGCTACCCCAGGCGCCCCTCTTCCTTCATTTTTGATACTAATAATTTGGGTTTTTTTTTTCAGTGTAAACTAGAGTTTATTTAATTGTATTCTTTTTCAAAGAACCAGCTTACAGTCTATTGCTACTTTTGTTATTATAAGTTTCAGTAATTTATGCTTTTTATTATTTCCTCCCTTTTGCTTGCTTTGGGTTTATTTTTATCTCTTTTTGTGGTTTCTTATGGTGGAAACTTAGATCATTGATTTGAGACTTTTCTAACAGAAGCATTTAATGCTCTAAGTTTGCTTTTAAACACAGTATCTTCTTTGTCACACAAATTTTTTTGTGTTATATTTTTATTCTTGTTCAGTTCAGAATATTTTCCAATATTCCTTGATATTTCTTCAATTTCCAAGCATTTGGAGGCTTTTCTAGTTATCTTTCTGTTGTTGATATTCAGTTTAAATTCATTATCATCAGAGATCATATTTTATATGATTTCAGTTCTTTTAAAATTGTTAGAGTTTGTTAGGACCTAAGATATGGTCTGTTTTGCTAAGTGTTCTGTGTGCACTTGAAAGAGTGTGGATTCTCCTAATACTGTTCAGTTCTGTGTCCTTGTTGATTTATTTTTTTAAAGATTTTATTTATTTATTAGAGAATGAGAAAGAGCATGAGTTGGGGGAGGGTCAAAGGGAGAAGCAGACTCCCTGATGAGCAGAGAGCCCCATGCAGGACTCGATCCTGGGACTCCAAGATCATGACCTGAGTCGAAGGCAGTCACCTAACCAACTATGAGCCACCCAGGCACCCTCCTTGCTGATTTTCTACCAGTTTCATTACTGAAAGAGGAGTGTTGAAATCTCCAACTATAATAATGGATCTATTTCTCCTTTTAGTTCTGTTAGTTTTTGAAGCTCTGTTGTTTGGTACATAAATACCTAGGATTATTGTCTTTTGATTAGTGTTTGCGTGGTAAGTCTTTTCCATCATTTTATTTTATTTTTTAAAAGATTTTATTTATTTATTTGATTAAGAGAGACCACGAGCAGGGGGAGGGGCAGAGGAAGAAGGAGAAACAGACGCCCTGCTGAGCAGGGAGCCTGATGCAGGACACAGGACGGATTCTAGTACCCTGGGATCCTGACCTGAGCTGAAGGCAGCCACTTAACTGACTGAACCACCCAGGCATCCCATCCATCATTTTACTTTTAACCTACCCTTGTCATTATATTTGAAGT